ATACAATATTGTAAAATTATTAATTATATTGTTTTATATTTTAGATTTATATTAGATACTATTGAATATTGATATTGTTCAAAAATATCTTTATTTAATATTGAATACGCGAGGGTATAGATGTATTATTAGATATATGAATGTATATAGGTATCATACATATAGGTGTATATTATATTATTTATTTGTTAAAAAGAAACACATTATTATTAGATATAATATTTATTAGTTATAATTATATATAAATAAAAAAAAATTAAAATCTTTTTTAATGATCAAGAGATTAAAGGTGAAAGTAAAAACGGAAATAAATAATTTTATTAACTTTTATTTAATAAAAGTAAACAATTATTTAATATACATTTATTTATATAATATATATGTATTTATTATTTTTTTTCTGATGGATTTACACGAATTATGTAAAATCAAATTTTATTCTCGATTATATTACAGTATAGTTTGTATATGTATTTTTTGAGAAATTATACTTTTTTTAAGTCCATATTTTTTAGATTAAGCCATTTTTGTTTTTTTTTTTTTGTTTTGATTTACTAAATTTTTATAATTTATTTAGATAATAGGTTCCTAAATTATAAATATACCTAAATTTAATATATGTAATTATATAACTCGTCAAATTTTTAATTTTTCTTTTTTAATACTCTTATAATTATTAATAATAGTATAATAAAATTATAATTTATAATATTATTACGGTATATGTTAATATTTTAATAATTGTATATTAACATATCAATCATATATGTATATTTATTATTTATATTATATCCTAAAAGTATTTTTATTTTGATTTCATTAATACTAAATTTGAAGTATATTTATTTTAAACTAATATTATAATTGACTAGAATTAAATATTAATTAATTAATTTTTTTTTTCACTTTCTTTTCTCTTTTTAAAATCTAATAAATTTTTAAATATTGTGGTGTATTTCTTGAGTAATTTTATTAAATTTATAGCATAGGTTTTTTTTTCTCAAAATGATAAAATTTTAAAAGAAAAGTAAAATCAATTTGAAATATTTTTGAAATTGAAATAAAATGATAAGAAAAGAAATGTGTTTTAGAATGTATATAGAAAATAATATAAATACGTATAAGAATTTTTGTATGATGACAAAATGGCGAATAAAAAATGGCGTTTTAAAATGAAATGAAATTTATGAGGATGAAATGATTGAGATTGTAATTTCAAAGTTTGTTCTAAAGTTCTTTCTATATATATATATGAGAAATTTAATCGTCCAATTTATGTAATTGAAAATATTAGAATTAAGTTTTTTTTTTCTTTTTTGATTCATAAATTTTTATATTCTTTTTTATAGTTATTTAAATTTTAATTTGTAATTTTTTTGTCTTATATCTCTTCAAAAGAAATTTTTTTTTGTTATCAGTCTTTTTTTTCGAAGCTGCTAAGACGTTTTAGTTCTGTGTAAAACGTTTGGAGTCATCAAAATATTTATGTTTTTTTTTTTTTTTGTTATAAATTTTATTTTCATTTGTTAATTTTTATTTTTTAAATTACATTATATGTGTATAATTTATATTTTATTAAATTATTTTCCTTCGACATATTTATATCGGTTATTTGATTAAGATATAATTATTTTGGTTTTTCTTTGTCCACCTTTTTATTTTTAGGCTTTCTATTTCTTTATTTTAATTTTTTTATATTTTAATTTTGAATTTTGTGTTTCGTTTCACAACCTTTTTTTGCTTTTCTTTGAATTGATATGCGGGAAGTTATAATATTGTGAAATGTAATAAGTCATAATTTTGTTGTAATAAAATATAAATACCACCTAGTATTATAAGATGTTTCATTTGTTTTTGTTTTCGATGTATAATGGTAATTAATTTGTATAATAATACTTAAATAGTTTTTCATCGAATGTATAATACCGGTTATATTTTATTTATATTAAAAATATTTTCAAAACTGCTTGAAAAAATTCATATATCAATTTATTTTAAATAAAGAATTTTACATAATGTACTAATATTAATATAAGTAACAATATGCTATTTTTAAAGAAATTTTTTCCATTTGAAATTCACTTTCAAAAGACTCAGATTTTAACTTTTTTTAACTTCTTTTGATATTTTCGATATAAGTGTAGTTAATTGTGCAATATAAAAATCTTTTTTGATAAATCACTCAGAGATTTGCATTGATAGATTTTAAAACTATTTATAAAATGTAATTTGATGTAATGTTAGTCATGGTTATTCTATTATACGTCCATTTTAAACTATAATTAATATTTTAATTAGGAGAGTTAAAATTTTAGTACTTTTATGGTACAATACAGGGTTTACACCGTCCGTCTAATTATATTTTCTAATATCGTATAATATTATGAATATCAATTTTTATAAAATTTTTATAAAATTTATCGAATTTAAGGTATTATCTTCTTTCTTTTTAAAAAGTATTATTAAAAATATTTGAAAAATTCAATATCAATTGGTTTCGTAAAGTTCTTTTTAAAATTTTATTTAAAATTTAAATAACATAATTGAATTGCTGTTGTTAATTAAAGTTTTTATTATTTGTATAAATAACATCAGACGATCTCAGAGCAAAATTCTTTTTGAAAAAAAATTTGATTTAACACAAATAGTTGATTATGTCTTTATTTTTAATGAATTTGAATATAATTTATAGTTACATTATTTATATTTAATACTAAGTAATTATTACATATACTTGCATATTTTCCAATTGATTTTATTTTTCTACACAATCTATATGAATTTTTTTTTTCTACACAATACATAATATGTAAATAGGATTCATTATTTTATAACTCGTAATCATTTATAATAAGTATGAGCTTCCAGTCAAGCTTATGTATTTCGCTTATTTTTCGGTGGGTTTTCTTTTTGAAAATTAAGTCTTTGGTATATTTTATAAAATATTTCTATTTATAAAATGAATGTTGTGTTAAAAAATTAATGAATCAGACTATTTCATATACTCGTACTATAAATACATATTTTTAATACTGATATTCAATAAATTTTTGAATAAATAAAGAGAGTATAATCAATAAATCTCTTTTTTGTGTTATATACATTTGGAATTAAATGTTCTGCACATTTAGAAATAATTCTAAATGTATTTAAGAAAAAAAAAGATTTAAATTTTGAAGAAAAAGTGTGAGTTAATTTTTACAATTGAAAGGCAGTTTGAAATCAGTAAACTACAAATTTTTAATGTTAAAGATAAAATGTTGAAGTTCAGATTGAGATAAATGTAAAGTTTGCCAAATAATTAATTTGTCGCTTTAATTTTATTTTAATAAAATGACTGAAATTACAAAAATAATCAACAATAAATTAAAAATAATTATTATTGTTAAATATTGTTAAAATAAAGATTGCATTAAATTAATAATTCTAATAATAAATTATTAATATTTAAAATTATTATTATAGTGTAGTTAATATTCATATTATTTATTAGAATTTTATTACATACAAAATTTAACAAGCTAAAAGCTGTTACTTTCCAATTTGTTATTATGGTATTGTATATTTTGATTATATAATACATAATATTTATAAATGTATTTATTTTATTTTGTAAATTAATATAAATTTAATCAAGCAGTATTGAAATTCAAAAAAAAAAAATGTTCTTATTCTTTCGATTTGAATTGAAATGAATTTGAAAGGGAGGATGTGTGTGTGTATATATTTATGTATTGAAAATAAATTATTGAACACAATTTTCATTTTAATTTTATTTTTTATTTTATATTTTATATATATATTATAATTATGTATATTTATGCTATGGCATTCATTTTATGTAATTTAAATTTAGAACATATTTGCATGTATGTTCTGGCAGAATTTCATTTTTTTTATTATACATATATATAATATATTTTATTTATATATATTATTATATTTCAATATTTATTTTATTATTATTATTAATTTTTTGTTTTTTTTGTTTTATAATTATAATGAAATCGACGAGTTCATTTTTATACTATTATATATTAATTAAATAATTATAATAATATTAAATACCGAATTTTATTAAATAATTAAATAACGAACGATTTTTGGTTTCGTTTACTGCGACGATTTTTTTAAACTACCATAATTTTATTATTAAAATTAAAAGTTTTTTAAAATTTTTTTGTTTTTAAATTTTTAATCGTTCTATATATATATATATTGTATTATGTATGTATATGTATATAGGTTTTTTTAAATCTAAAGAGTCTTTTTTATTATTTAATTAATAATTTTTCTTTTTTAAATATATTTGTCTCTAATACTTTTTCACAAATATTTTTCCTTAAATAATGTTTATACTGATTAATTTTTATCGTTTTAATACTTTTTTAGAAATTAAAAATCTAAAAATGAGAAAAAAATTAATAAAAAAAAAAAGTAGATATCCTAACCTATTAATTGACTACTTTGTTGTTTTTTTTTTTAAGTTTTTTTTTTTTTCAAGAATTAATTATTAATTATTAAATTCTTTAATATTTAAGTTCCTTTTTTTTTGTTTATTTTTTGGTTTTGGAAATAACAGGTGATTTTAATAATTTTCAAAAATTAATTTCTATATATATCAGTATATATATATGTATATATAATATATATATCATAATACTAACACGTATATTTACATTTTGGGTATACATATTCAAATATGTGTAAATGTTTACATACATATTTATTATAATTAAATATATCGTATGCATTTATTATGTAAATATTTATAGGGTATAATATACCATGTACATACATATATGTATGTGATAAGATCACATATATACTGTATTTACATACATATATGTTTATTACATTTAGGAGTTTGGAAGGGAGGGGGGGGGGGTGACATATTAGTAGAAGATTCCTAAAATAGAAAATATACTTAACAGTTTAAAAGTTTTTTTTTTTCTAAAGGCCTTTAATTAAGAGCGCCTACTTATATTTTAATTATTTTATAGATAGTATATAAGGGTTTCTTGTTAGCATTTTTTTTTTGCTAGCATTTTATTATACATTCCTTTAAGCCAAGGATAATAATAATGTACAAACAGAAAATAGTTTTTGGATCTTTAATTTTTTTTTTTGTATTTGGACTTTTAATTTTTTTGGGTAGTGAGTAATAATTGGAATTTGTTTTTTTTTTCCTTTTTTTTGCATTTTCCAAATTAAAAATTAAGTATTTTATTTTCAAACTAAATTTATAGTATAATATGGTATAGGTATATATATATATATACATAGATATATTTTTTATTACTTATTTTATTAATACAAGTAAAATTTTTCATGTAAAGGACCTAAAATTTTAAATAAAATTTTCTCAAATTTTTGAATTGGGAACAATGCTTTTTAGAATAAATATATATAGTAAATATATATATGTACTTATTATAAAATTATATTATAGGTACGGTATATAAGTAAATATGTTTAGATTTTGTTATTAAATTGAAATAAAAAATTTCAATTTTCGACAAGGAATAAAATCAACTCTAAATATATGGAACAGAATTAACTTTTCTACGCCTATAAATATGTAATATTTACATGAGTTACAAGAATATTAATACTTTCTTTTATTTAATACTAATTAAATAAAATTTTTTTAATTAAAATTATAAATACTTCATTTTTTTTTTAATTTCGTTGAAATTTATTAAGCTTATATTTTATGGTGTTTTTTTTTTATGTATAAGTATATATGTATAATCGTTGAAAGCTGTTGTAGATAATTTTTTCTATTTTTATTTTTTATTTAAAATTAGTTTTGTTTTTTTAATTGCATTTAGTGTTATTATATAGTAATAAATAATTGTTTTAATATTAATCGCGTGTGTAATAATTATTTCATTATTATTATTTGTTTTTCATTTAAATAAATGCATATTCTTAGGAGGTTTTGAATTAAATTCAATCATTTTTATTGAAAATCAAAAATGACAATAATTCATATTATTTTTATTTAAAAAAAAAAATTTCCAAATGAAAGAAATCACAGCTCGAAATATATAATAATGTAATTTTTATAATTATATAATACTTTCCAATTCCTAGAATAACATTTCAATACTTTAAGTTTTTATTTTTGAATATATTTTTTGTTTTAAATACAAGCACACGAAAACTCCTTAAAACATTTTTTATTTCTTAAATGAAATTTATACTTTGATTTTTACTGAAAAATGGAATTATAATTGAAAAATTTTTTTATATTCGTGCAACTGCTAATATATTTGTTAAAGATCTTTGATTTATTTTATTATAGTTATAAAAAATTTCTTGGTGGTTCTTATTTTTTGTTTTACTATTTTCATATTTAGATAATTGAATTATTTGAAATTTGGTTTATTTTAGATTCTATTTATTTATAATATAAAAAAGCTTACCATATTTACTTAAAACAGCTTTAAAATTAGAGTAAATTCTGTATAAAATTTGAAATTGTAAATTTATTATTTAAATTAATATTAAAATTCATTATTTGTAGGTGCTGCCAAAACACGTACAGTGAAGAATGAAATGTATCAACCTTCCAGATATAATCAGCACGTTCAGTTTTCAATGAAAAATAATTAAAGATGGTGCGAAATAAGAGTAGTCAATTCGGAGTATCATAGTTATAGATTTAATAGAACTACTTTTTAACAGCTATATTATATAATTAACCAGCTACTTGGCGATTTTATGAAAAACGATCAGTTCGACTGAAAATCAATTCACTAAGATGAAAGAAAAATTATAGAAGCGCAAGGGATTTCGTTGAATATTTCGCTGATATCAAACCCTTATTAATGAATATCGGGTATAAATTTCAAGATTTTAATATCAAATACAATATCGAATTATTCTTGAGGAAAAATTACTTGATTAACAAATTGAGATTAAAATAAAAAATCAAAGTTTTACAATAGTAACTTTTAAAATAGTGTTAAGTCTTTCGAACCCTCATATTGTTATCTCATATTAGGTTGATCTGATTCTCAAATAGTTAGCAGTTCAAAAATATTTCAATTTGAAATAATTGTTATAAATATGATATTTGTTTAATATTTTTGATAATTTATGAATAAAAAGAAAATTATTATCAAATATTCTGTCAATAAAATTTTGCCTATTGTAATTTAAATAATACGAACACAACTTTCGTTAAGTATTTGTATATATAAAATTTAAAGCCTTTGATAATAATATTAAAATGAATGTAGATTTTGGTTAAATATAATTTAATTATATTAAAGCTATTCAAAAAACTATTCAAAATTTTAAAAAATAGGAGTTTTTTTTTTTGTTAATTTTTAGTCAGTGCTCATCAATTATTGTTATTATTATTTATATTAAGATTATTGTTAAAAGTTGTTATATTTTTTGTTTTTGTAATTACTGATATAGAACGTTGCGTAGCTTTTTTTATATAATCGCTTTTTGTTAATATTATTATTCCGCTTTTAGTTTAGTGAATTTATTACATTTGTTTAACTAATTTTTTTTTAATTATTTTAAATTAATAAATTCTTTTTTTAGGTTATTAATTTTAGTCAATCGATAATGTATCTACGTCAAATTTAAAACTTACTTGTCTTTTTGATTCTTGACTTGTTGGTTTACTGTAATCTAAATCTAGTTTTGATAACGGTACTTGATACATAGTCGATGGGTAATGATGATGCATTGTAGATGATTGTTGTTGTTGTTGGTGTGGTTGAGATGGATGATGATGTTGTAAATGATGATGTGACGAAGAAGGTAAATGATGATGATGGTGATCAAAATATTGACTCATATAGCCACTTAGATTACCACCAAGACCAGTTGTACCAACTAAGCCACTTTGTCCACCACTACCACCACTGATACCTAAGCCTCCGTATGATTGTCCAGTAGTTAAAGCACCACTACCACTACCGATAACACCACTACCACCACTTGTATATGGTTGTTGATTCTGATGTAAATGATATTGATGAGAAGGCAATTGTTGTTGAATTTGCTGCTGAAGATGAGATGAATGAAGATATGCGGCCGAATGACTTAAAGGATGATTATGATGTAAGTGTTGATGTGTAGTGTATGGATAGTGATAATTAAGTGCAGGATTTGATAAATGTAAAGTTCCTGGTAAATGATGTGATTGATAAAATGATTGTGGATATAGTGATTGTTGATGTTGATGATGTTGTAACGCTGTCAGTGATGATAGCGGTGGTTGAATTGATTGCATATAATTACTACTTAACATATTATTTGCTATATTATATGGATTATAATTTCTACTACTATAATTATAAACAGATGGACGTGAATATAAATAATTATTAATATTAGATGAGGATAATGTTGGTTTTAAACGTTGTAAAAATTGCTGTTGTTGTTGTGTTAAACCGGTTGTTCCTGTTGCTGTTGTTGTTTTATCATATGGTGTTGCTGTTGCTGGTTGAAAATATAAATTTGGTTGTGATGAAAAGCTATTTGATAATTGCATTAAATTTGTTTCATGTGGATATCCATAATCTGGATAGCTTAATGTTGGATAACTTAAATTCAATCCAGAATATCTATAATTTAAATAACTACTATGTGGCGGGATACGTTGATTTAATATTTGTTGTGATCTTGATATTGATTTATTTGTTTCATTTAATAAATTAGCAATATTTGTTGTTGATTCATGATGTAATAAACCGCTAGAACCAGTTAAACCAGTTGTATAACCACCGGTACCTAAACCACTTGTAAATGTATCACCTAAACCAGTGACACCACCACCAGTACCACCACCACTTATTGATAAATTACTTAAATCGGCCATCATAGATGATGGTAAACCGCTATAACTATAACGTCTTCTACGTGCTGCTGCTACTGCGGCTTGTTGCTGTTGTTGTGCAGCTGTCATTGGAAATGGTGATAATCTACCAGTTAAACCACAACCACTACCACCAATTGCACCACTACTACCACCAAAATCATATTGATTAAAAATACTAGATGATGAGGTTGGTTGATGTAAATATGGATCAGATGTTTGATGACCAGAATAGTATTGACCAAGAATATCAGGCATTGGAGGGCTTGTACCAATGCCACCACCACTCATCATGTTGTTGTAATCGTACATCTGAAATAGTTTTAGATATTTTTGTTCCAGTACCAGTATATCTAATATTCTTGTTTTTTTTTTTATATTTTATTTTATGTTTTATATTTTTAAAATTTTTTTTTTTAATTTATTTTTTATTTTTAAAAGTGGAATTTGTGTCTAATGAAATTTTATTTAGTTTTTCTTTTTTTTTTTTTTGATTTCCGAATAAATTTAACTTTAATATATACTAGATATATATTGAGATGATATATATGTATATATATATATATATGTATATATATATGTGTATATGAAAAAACAAAAAAGATTTTCATATATTTTTTATTTGTTTGATATAAAAATAAATAAATATTTAGTATATAAAATCAAAACTACGGGGATTTTGTATATAATTTTTTTTTTTTTAAAATTTGTATATTATGTATATATATATATTATATATATATATAAATATATAAATAAATATATATTTATACTAGTTTAAATTGATCAAAAAAGAAGCAGAAATCTTTTCTATATAAATTTACTATTTATTTATTTTTTAAGTTTATTTTATGATTTTATTTAAATTCTTTGTCTATTTGATTTCAAATTTTATAAACAATTAATATATTGTTTATTTATAAATGTAAAAAAAAAAAAAGAAAATCACTAAAATATTTTTAAATGTTTAAAGATTTTGTCCGAACACTTACGGACGTGGCCCCATATATTTACTTTTCTCTTTTTTTCGTTAATTTTTTATAATTATTATAGAAAATCTCACGTTCATTAAAGGTTTACATTTATTTTTTTTTTTTTTTTTTGAAATCTTAAACAATAATTTTTAATTAAAAGTTTCAATTATAAAAAGTTATTTTACAATTTTTTACTTTTTAAATTTTTGTTTTCAATTTATATAAATTTTAATAATAGTAAAATATAGTTATATTGTTTTTTTTTTTTAATAAAATAATATTATAGTTTATGTTTTATATTTTTAAATTCAATGAATTGTGTAGTAGTAGTAGTTGCTGTAGTAGTAGTAGCAGTAGTTTGCTATTATAGGTTTTTGGTTTTTTTTGGTCATATTTTAATTTTGATATTTTTAAGCTCTTCATTAGAAATGATTGTAGATAGATTGTAAAACGCGAAATACAAAGATTTATTTTGTTTTGAATTTTTTAATACAAATATTAAATGTCGTTTTTTTTTAAATATATATACATATACGATGTTGTAAAAGTTCACTGTTTCTAATTTAATTTTAAATAATTAATTTAATCAGTCCATCTATTTTTTACGATGTTAAAACATTTTTATATTTCTTCATTTGTATATGGTGGTAAAAATTTGATTCGTTATGGATGTAAAATAATTATATATATTTTTTTTTTCTTTTTTTTTTTTTTTGGTTTATGATTGGTGATTTATAATTTTATTATGAAAATATTTATGATGATAATAATGATTTAATGATGATATTAAGGAAAAATTATTCAAATCAGAACAAAATTAAAATATAAAATATTAAAAACGATAATTTTGGTGTGAGTATTAAAAAAATAAAATTAAAATTTTTTTGTTAAAGATGTAAAATTTGAAAATTTAACGAAAATAAAAGAAGGAGAAATAAAAATTAAAATAAGTAAAATAAATTTTTATTTAACTACTAAGTATGTTATATAATAAAATATAATATATATATATATATATATATATATATACATATATTGCTTTCTTCGTCTAAACTATAAAGTTTGAAAAACAAAAAAAAAAATCAAAAACCTAATTTTGTTTAACTTTATATTTTATGCAACCTTTTTGTTTATTTTTTTTTTTTTGTTTGACAAAAACAACAAAATTTTGAAAATATCCTATTTTTTTCTTCCTTGTTTTCTTTTATTTCTATCTGATTTTATGATAAATTTTCAGAATAATAGTAAAATGTGTGGCACGATAAAATTATTATAAGCTCATATTTTATAAATTATAAGCCGATTTATACAAAAATATTTTGGTTATATATATGTATATAAAAAATGCTCTCTTTATATATTTCAGTTTCCTCTGTATTTTTTTTTTTTAAATTAAAAATATATTATAATATTATTATATAAGGTATATTAAAATCTCAGCATAATTAAAATTTTAAGTAGCAGTTTCAAATGAATTTTTTTTTTAAATTATATATTTTCATATGTCCTATATATATATATATATATATATATATATATTATGTATATGCATTTTGGCTTTCAATATAATTAATTGTAAAATTTATCAGATTTTTGGCATTTTTTATTAATATTAAATTATATAATTATATAAGCATAATATATATATATATATATATAAATAAACTTGTAATTTTATTCTGTCTTTTTATTTTTTTTTTTTTTAAATTAATTATAATGTATGTAATATATATACTTGGATTATATAATTATTACAAAATGAAAATATTTTATATATTCAAAAGAGATTGTTTAACAAATCGAAAAAAAAAAATAAGAATTAAGAAAACAAAAATCATCGACATTTCGTTGTATATTTTTGTTATATATTTTCAAACCGATTAAGTTTTTAATTTAATTTATTTATTTTTTTTTTGTTGTCTTATAAAACAAAAAAATATTGCAACACAAAACTTTTTTTTTTTTTGTTAAAGCAAAAAAGATAAATTGTTAATATAAGAGAATACGATTTAAATATTTATAATTTTTTTTTTTATATAAAAAATGTATAAATTAATGATATATATAATATTTGATTAAAAATACAAATATTTTGATAATATTTATGCTTGTTTTTTTTTATTTGTTTAAAAATAAAATTATAATTGAAAAAAAAGGAAAGAAAAACAGAAATTAAAAAATTAATGTAAAATTAAAATTATAGTAAAATTAAAAATAATAAGAAGAAAAATTAAAAGAACGAATTTTGAATTTTTTGCGAAATGAATTTATATTTTGTTATACAAGGAATCGTATTTAAATTTTAAATTAAGAGAGAAAACTTTATTTTTCTTATGTTTTTTTTTTCAATGCGCAAAAATTGAATTCTTAAAATCAAATATGTATATGTAAAATTTCCAAAAATATTTTATTATAATATTATATAAAATTCTATGTTTTTTCTGATTTTTTTTTTGGTTTTTGGAATGGGGAACGGAACGAAAATGGAATTCATAGAAATTTTTAATAAGTAAAATTGGTTTTTTATAATCGAACGGTAATTGTAAGGTCTTATAAGAAAACGTTTAGTTTTCTAAACAAGGTGTAAAAATTATATATATGTAGCTTCTTTTGGATATCCATTAAAATATTTAAAAAATGTTTTAATAAGTTTTGACTAATCAAATAATTTCATCTTGTATTTACGGTTTGTTCTAGTTGAAGTTTCGTAAAAAAAAAAATTTTTAAATATTTTTATTTGTTTTTCAATTATATTTTAATTTTTTTTTTTGTTTTATGAGTGTAATTAATTTTTAATTTTTATTCTTGCTTTCTTTTTAATTAAGTAATTTAATTAAATTAAAAGACGAATGATAATGGGTCATAAATTAATATATATGTATGTATATATTTTTTTTGATAGACAATTTAAGAAAAAAAAAATTATATAACTATATTAATTTACTTTACTTTTCATTTAATCCTTTTTTTTTCATTTTAATTGTTTTTATTTTGTTTTTATTTTTTTTTTTTCAATTTTTCAAATTTTTAGTTAATATTGCCAATTTCAGGAGCCATTGATACCGGTAAGTTTCGTCAAAAATCTTTTTTCTTTTTTTGTTTCTTTTTTTTTGTATTTATTTAATTTTTGTTTTGCGGGAAACATATAGATATATATATATATATATATATATATTTGGTTTGATTTGATAATAAATTTTTTTTTGACGAAAGAATTATAATATGTTTAAATAATTTTGATCTCTAAAAACAAAAAAAAGAAATTTAGAAAAAAAAAACCCAAACAAATTTATATTAAGTTTAGAATATTTTTTACGTTTTGTTTCCGATTTTTTTCCAACTTATATAATTAATTTAGAATTTACTTGAATTAATTGGAATCTAAAAAAAAAATAGTGTCTATTTTGTAATTATATAATATATAAATAGTAATTAATTAATCAAAAAATTTATTTCAATGTTTAATAGTTTTTAGATTTTTCAGTAATTATATAAATTGTACACAACACAGAAGTAAATTAAAATAGAAATAAAAAAAAATTTAAAAATTAAAATTAGTAAAATATAGTTAATAAAAAGTCCAAAAAAAAAAAAAAAGAATTTAATAAATTAAAAAATATAAAAATAAATTAACAAGCAAAAAAATTAACAAAATATTTATTAAAAATATAAAATTTAAAGCATTCTATTATTTAATATAAATAATGGCTTTCAATTAAAAACACGTATATAACTAATAAAATATTTAAAATACAAAATTTAATTGATTTCTATTTTTTATTTTCCCGTTTTTCTTTATAAATAGATATTTGAAATTGGTTATGTAAACGCTGGCTTCAAAATATTAAATTGTGTAAAATTCATATTGAAAATTATTTGCTTTTCAGTTTTGTATACCCTATAAAAATGTGTTATATATAAAAATAAACAGTAATTTATTTATTTATTTTGAAATTTCAGATCATCATTATTATAATTCACATTATTGAAATATTGAAAATATTAGAATATAATTTAGTAAAAATATACAAATAGTTAAAATATTAAAATACATTTTAGTACGTAAATATAAAGTAAATTTTACTAAATTTTATTACTGACATTTTTAATTTCAGCTTGATATTACACGTTTTAAAGGCATTATTTAATTCAAGAAGATCACAAAATGAATTTTCGATTGAAGATGGTTTTTTTCTGTATTGATTTCAAATTGTAATATGGGCAAAATAAAATGTAATTTTGTAAATGTGGCCTTTGGGAATCATAAAACAAATACATATATTTTTTTCGTATATTCCAATCAAGTAAAGGAGCCAGAGGATATAAAAAGAAAAAAGATTTAAAAAATTTAATGAATTAATGGAGTCAAGGAAGAAGTTTCTTTTATGAAACATGCTACAATCTAATAATGATGTTGATATAATTTTCCAACTTATATCAATTAAATATTAATCAAATAATATATCAATTAAATTTTGATTCATTATCTTTGTATTTAATGGTTATGGTATCCGTATTGTTCATTCATTTAAATTTTATACTTGTCTGCTGTTATATAGAATAATGAAAAAGATTTTTTTTTTAGGAAATATTGTGCTGCTTCAATCAAAAATCAATCATCAAATCAAGAGATCATCAAATTTGAAAAGCAGTACTTATACTCTATCTATCAGTTATTCAATCCTCTTCAAATTTATTTTAGTTAAGATACGAGTAATTAATCTTTAATTAAGCAATTAAATAATTTAATTTCATTTTTTTTGTTGTAAATCTAACCGTATAGTTTTAAAATATTCAAATAAGTTTTAAAAAATCTATAGTTTCATTTTAGTAATATAAAAAAAATAAAAGATAATAGTAAAGTAATAAAATTAATTGCTTTTTTTTCATATATTTTTTATTATTTGTAAAATTAATTTTTCTGTTTTATTTAATTTTGAAAATATACACTGAAAAAATGTCGATCATTTTTCTTGTTTATTTTTTTTTTCATTAGCTAATTAATTTTATATTTGGCTATTATTGTTACCATGTAATAAATTGCATGTATATATTACTTATATAATATTTAAAAAGTTGTATATTTAAGAAAATATTATATTTTGTTTTGAAAAATAATATATTAGAACATAAAAAAGAAAACGAAAACGAAATTTATTATATTATATTTTTTTTTTATTTGAAATATATAACTTTTTTTTTTTAAATATAAATAATTCTTTCGTCAATTTTAGTATAATATTTTAACGAAATAAATTAGATTTATTAAATATTATATAATAAAAAAAATATTTTAGAGGAAAAGGAAAAAAATTAGAAATAAAGAATTATATTTTATTAATATGTATATATATAAATAGATAAAAGAAAAGCATTTTTATATACTCTGCCCATATTAAAAATTTATTAAAGAAGAATAAAAGCTATAAAACATTTATTTTTAATTTCTAAATAAAGTTTCCTTTTCAAAAGCCAAAAACAAAAAAGAAAAAAACAAATAAGAAAAAAAGTTATACAAAGTTAGAAAACAAAAGAGAGCAAAAATATAATCTGTGGCATATAGGAAAAGAAATAAATATTGTATTCTACAAAATATAATACTATTGATTTGCAATTTAACTAATATTGATAACTTGTTTTCTTTTTTTGAGGTTTTTGTATGTAATTGTCTTTTTTTTTTTTGTAAATAACATATTGTGTTTAAAAAAGTATATTTGTGTTATAAAAATGAAATATCAAGGTATAATATATGTAAATGTGTTGTGTATTGAGTTTGTATATAAGTTTTATAATATATTCTTTTTAATTGAACTTGAAAAATTAATATCTTATACAAAAGAACTAGTAAATATATATAAAATACATTTATATTATATTATATGCATATAATTTGTTTAGATTATTATTTATTAGATATATTTAGATTATTTTTCATTTAGATATACCTATACATCCATAAATAAATGTATATAAGTATATAAAAATATTGATTTTGAATTACACAATGATATAAATAACTTTATAACACTTATATTAAGAACCACATGTAAAGAAAATACAAAAAAAAAAATAATACAATGAAAAAAGTAGAGAAGTCCAAAGATAAAATTTTCCTAAAGAAAATAAAAATGAGGCAGGCATATTGAATCTTTTTTGTCAGTTTTTTAAATTACAGTAATTCCCACATAGACCGCTTACAGTTTATAAACAAAATAAATTTGTGATTTTATTTGCTATAAACAATTTTATATATTTCTTTAAATTAAATAATAATTTTTAATATATTTTTTTAATATAATTAGTGTTTTTTTTTTTTCAATATGTCTTCATAACAAGTGCAGAGCAACATAGCTTTGTTGTTATGTTTATTAGTAAATAGTTGACTTGTGTTTATTTAAAATTAGTTTTATCGAAAGATATTTATATTTCACGATCAAATAAAGTATTTACCTTTACTAATTAAAGCTTATTAAAGATATAAGTTTATAATTATTCGAAAAA